CATTTAGTTGTTTGTAACTTGGCTGACTTGTTAAGTTAAGGAGAAAAGAAATTTATTTTCGAATATTTACATTTATGTAATATTTTAATTACTACCTATATATGGAAAAAAAAATTATTTTATTCAAATAACCGAATACTTGTCTATTATCAAATAAATATTTCTGAAAATAATTAAATTAATCGAGAAATTTAATTGGAATTGTATTGAAAAAACTAATTGAACTTTTTTAAAGAATTTTATCAAAAATTGTATTGAAAAAACTAATTTAATTTTTTAAAGAATTTTATCAAAATTGTATTGAAAAAACTAATTGAACTTTTTAAAAGAATTTTATCAAAATTGTATTGAAAAAACTAATTAAACTTTTTTAAAGAATTTGATCAAAATTGTTGAAAATATTTGTATTTCTTGTAATAATTGTTTTAAAAATTTTATAGAATAATTTAAATTCTTCTAGAAATTTTTTTATTTATGAAAATAATTGAATTTTTGTGAAGAATTTTTTTATTATTGAAAATAATTGAATTTTTGTGTAGAATTTTAAAAACATTTTAAATTACGATTTTATAGCGTAAAAGTAAAAACATGGCTTTTTCACATGTTTTATTATTTATTTTGAATTTTTTGACTCTGGACATTTTTATTTTGGATTTTTTGTACTTTGGATTGTTTTTCTTGGATTTTTTTGGTCTGTATTTTTTGAATTGGATTTTTTGTCCTGTAATTAGTTAATTTGAATAAAAACTAGTTGATTGAAGTAAATATTTATTTGATAATAGACAAGTATTCGGTTATTTGAATAAAATAAAATATTTTTTTCAGTGTATTAATATTATAATTATAATTGATATTGTTATATTTTAGTTACAATATAATTATAATTTTCAGAGTTGACGATGAGCTGTCGTAGCGATCAGACGTATATTTGTTTGTCTGTCTTGTATATAAAATTTGAGAAGTTATTTTATTTCGGACTGTCAATATCTGTTTGTTCAAGTCTGTGCCTATTTGGAGTTTACTGGTGTGACTTGTGAAACTGTTAGCAGTGCCTATTATATGGTTTTTTTTACTGTGAACATTTTTGTTATATTATTTTTGTGCCTACTCTGTCTCGTATTGTGCAACCGTCATTGTCGACGCCTGACTTTAGTCAAGTGCTCAATGTGACTTTATGAGTTTGGTCAATCTAAGGATTTATTTTTATTTGAAGTGCACTCATATTTGAACTTTTTTTTTGTTTTTTGTTTTTTGTTGTTATAATTTGGAGCTTTCGAATCAGAATTATTGATTCGAGATTGCTCTTTTGCTGAGTGTCTTTCATTGTTAATTTGAAAAGTGATAACTGCCTATTGTTTTGTGTTACATACTTTCTGTGATTGAAGCCTAATATATAAACAAACATGAGTTTCGTAATTAATGAGGAAAGATGGAACGAACTTCTATCATCTATTAGCAGCCTTACAAACTCACACGATGTACTTCGCACAGAAATCCATACCTCTACAAAGGCAATTGAATCAGTTAACTTGAGAATGACTATGCACGACGATAGAATCTCTGAGATCGAAAGAACAGTTACAATTTTAAATAAACAAATGAGGTCCAAAAATTTAATCCTATTTAAATTAAAAGACTCTGATGAAATAAATAAGAATTTATTGAATGTTATCTTATCTATCTTCAATAAAGTAGGACTGAAGATCCCCGATGTAGCTGTTGATGACATTTTCAGGATTGGCAAAAATAAGGAAGCCCGCTCCCGTCCTGTATTAATAAAATTTATCGCAACTCAATGGGTCAGAAGGGTATTTACTAAGGTAATTGAAATTTCCAAGGCCGGTTATGCCATAGCTAATGATAGGAGCAAGGAAGAGAGAGATCAACGTCGCAGCTGCCTGGACCAAATCCATAAACTAAGAGGAAAGGGTCATAACGCTAAGCTGAAAGGAGAAAATATTTTGGTTGATGGAGTGAAGGTATCGGCAGAAAAGATTAATTTATTATTGACTTCTCGTAGAATGGTAAATTTGGCATTGAAGAGGCCTGACCTTAGATCTAACTGGTTATCGCAAATGAAAACTTTTTTTGCATGGGATGATCAACAAGATATATGGAATTCATTATCTTTAGATTCTATATGTAAAAACAAGAAGGCCATACTTAAAAATTACGCGAATTTTCTTATTTCCCAAGATAGAAATCAATTTGTTTTATCAAAAAGTTTATTAGTATATCCCCAGCTTTCAATCCAAGAGGGAACTCAAGATTATCTTACAGCAAATTTACCTTTATATTATAAAAAATTTTTTGCCCAAATTAGATTGCTTAATGGCTTTATTTGTAGAATTTCTTGGGACCGTAAAAAATACGTTTTTAAACCGAATCAAATTTGCCTTTCATGCAGACGGGAGGAGGATAGCCTGTTTCATGTTTTAATTGATTGTCCTGCGTGTGCCCACTTATGGGAAAATGCTTTTCCGAAATTATGTAACGAAGGGGATCGACTTTTGTTTTGGTTGCAAATTTTATCTACGAAAGATGTTAAGATTATTAAAAAATTTATAAATTTGCTGTCTTCCATTCTGTAGGACCTCTTGAACTGAATTGAATAAACAAAATTCTTTGTGTCCAGATGTATACTGCGGTTAAACTTATTTATATACATATTGTATTCATCTCTTATAGCTCAATTATTTGTAATGCGATGCTCATCAACTAATCTCCGATGTTAGTGCTCTTATTAGAGTCATAGAACATGCGTAGTTTTATTTATTTATTATGATGATATTTTGGTAGTTATTAGTTATTAGAAAAAAGAATGTAAATAAATAAATAAATAATTATAATTTTCAAAATATTAATATTATGAGTATAAACTATAAATACATTTTTACGACATTCCGCATTATTTTATTCATTCCTGTATCGAATATAATCAATTCGCTGTAATTGTGGTATTTTATTTGTAGTTACTACCCCGAATGATATTAATTACATAATAATTCAATTTGAGATAATTATGCTTATTAAGTCTTCATCATTCATTTATGACAAATATATGTCTATTTTCCCAAAACATTTGCAATAATTGTTATCCTTCTATTTTCGAATATTATATTACAATTTGAATTGGACTATTTTTTTTAATGAAAAAAAAGAAAAAAAATTCAAAAAGAAAACAAATAAATAAATAAAGAGAGTAGGTAACATCTGTAAAACATTTATATAATTAGTATCGTTTTCTTTGTACTTTTGCAAAAAAGTAAAAAAGAGCTTTGAATTTTTATGAAAGTTGATACACAATTTAAAAAAGTATTCTATTTAAGAGAAAAGAAGAAGAAGTGGTAGTAGAAAAAGGGGATGGAGGAGGAGGAGGAGGGAAAAAAGAGAGAAACATGCTTGAAAAGGTTGGAAAGTTTTCAGTAAGGTTCTTATCTCATTTCTCTTCCGCATAACGAGCTAAAGTTGTCCATTGAAACAAGCATTAGACTGGATATATATTTTCTCTGTTTCTTAAACGCTAACTCGTCGGGGGATACAGTTTTAAGGCTCTCTTGTTCTCTCCTTCTCTTTCCCTCTCTCCTTCTTTCTCTTCCATTTTCTTGATCGTATAAAATTATCTTTATGCGAAAACAAAAAGCGGCGCTCCTCTTGATTATAGTCAAAACATAAAATGTGAATGTGTATCAAAAACTCAGTGTGCATTTGAGAGAAATATTATTTATGTTTATTTCGATACGGTAAAAAGTAGAATAAAAGAATTGATTACAAAAATATCGTAAAAGAACAAAAAATATTATTGAGTAAAGTTTTTTTTAAAATGATTTTTAAAATATTATTGTTCTCTCTAAATCTTTATACTCTTTTGTACTCTTATAGTCTTTACTAATAAAACATAAATTTGAAAATAATTTTTCACCTCCCCCCCAAATTATATTAGTTTTTTTTAATAAAAAAAAGTTTACTTCTTTCCTCGACGAAATTGCGAAAAAATTTCTTTTTTTAATCAAATTTCTTTTTGTCATATAAGAGAATGAGGTTTTTATTAAATTGACCATTAGGGGGATTAATATGAGGGCATTTTTCTTCCTCATTTTCAGTTATTTCGTAATTTATACATATATTGAAAGGCACATACGTGTATGTGGGGGGTTTTTTTTTTTTTTAATAATTCCACTTTCGCAAGCAGTCCATTTGAATAATGTCACTTAACCCAGAAAAGGATGGTCGTATATTCAAATATTTCAACACCATATATACGCAGTCAGAAGTCAGGACCTCAAAATAGCGAGGGTAGCAGTAATCTCCCTGGCAGTCGGATTATCGGTGGGATAAAGAATGGGGAGTCGGAGAAAGAGAGAAGGAGAGAGAATATATATAAGACGCTTGAAAAAAAAGTGACCCGCATAAGAAGTTTGCCATTTCGCGCGAAAGAGAGGAAAAGAGTGTGCGAGAAGGAGAAAAGTGAAAGACGATAAAACACGAAATGTTAAATCAACTATGGAAATTTTTTCTTCTCTTTCTCTTTTCTATTCTCACAAACCCCTTGAAGTCTATAATATTGACATCCATTATTCACAAATCAAACTTCAAATATTTAACAAAACCCACAGATTAATTCATTATCACTTTCTTTACGCCAAGGTGTCAAGTTCTTTTTTCTTCTTTTTTTTTTGACCCGCACAAGATACTGTGTGATAATTTTTGCACCAAAGTTTCGTTGAAAAGTTTTTTAATTGAAAAAGTTTTTATGTCAAATAAGATTTGAAATTTTTGTTAAAAACCCCTTTTTCTTTGTTTTTCTATTGAGAAAAGAAGATTAATATTTATAGAGTTCCTTTTGTATTTTAATTTTCGAATAATCTGATTGGGATTAATAGCAATAATAATATTATTTAATATAATATATTATAATTATTTAATAGAAATTAATATTTGTTCTCACTTTTTATTCTTTTTTGATAGTAATAAGAGTATTTTTACTCTTTTTGTTTCAGGTGCGATCAATTGTTTCCTGTCGAGTTTAATTCGTAAGTAAATAAGTATTATGTTGAAATGTATACAATTATTAACTATATTAATCTTCGTATTTTTTCATTCATTCTGTCCCCAGTTTGAAGTTAGTTTTTATGTATGCTTTTGTTTTTTTTTCTTTAAAGAATATTGTTCGACAAATCGAAAATATGCACGTATTGTTTCATGATTTATAATAAAATAGTATTTGAAATTAAAAAATTAGAAAATTACAAAAAAACTATTAACAAATAAATTTTGTTTTCTATATGATTTTTTGATATCAAATTTCGTTTGACTGATCTAAATTAAACAAATTTTTCTGCTCTTTATTTGTAAAAAATAGAAAGTTGTTAATTTGTTAAAAAATTATGATTAAGGGTATGTGGAATCAGCCAACTTCAATTAATACATGTATTAATATTCCCACCAGTTTTCTAAAAAAATATTTAATAAATCTTGACAAAATATAAAAAAAATAATATTTTATTTATTGAGGCATGGATCTCTAATCCAATTAATACAAAAATTTGCTTTTAAATATTATTTTTCATTTAATAAAAAGTTTGATATTTTCTGAGAAAAAAAGACAATCAAATACAAATTAATATTAAAAAAAAATGAATAAATTTATATTTTTCTATTCAAACTTTCATTTTTTTGACAATTTTCGAGAAAAAAAGACAATCGAATACAAATTGCCATTGAAAAAAATGAATGTTAACATAGAAAAATATAAATTTATTCATCTTTTTCAATATTAATTTGTATTTGATTGTCTTTTTTTCTCAAAAAATATCAAACTTTTTATTAAATGAAAAATAATATTTTGTTGATAATGTATATGATCTTGGGAAGGTAAGATTTGAATAAAAAATTCAAAAGTGTGTCGTTAAAAGAGCGACGTTTCGTTGGCTAGGGTTTGCCAACCTCATCAGGCTAAAATTTTATTAAATAGATAGGTTACACATCAGTATTTCTTTGGAAAGGTCTAAAAGCACTATTTCAATAAATTAACAATAATGATATACCTAAATTTCGTTAGAACATCGAACACATGCTAACACGTCAAAGATTAAAATTCTGTCAAAATATAATAAAAAATCACTCCACACTTATAAAAATAAAATTTAAAGTAGAGAGAAGACATTCTCACACAGCGATTCACTGTCAACTGAAAAGAAATTTAATTATCTTACAAAGTCAAACCAGGAAACACGTGAGAGAAGTCAATGAACCAAAACATAAACACATTCTTAAATGAGGTACAAGTTATATTGATTTTATTATTTTCTCTATGGACACGAGTCCATACGTCTAAGTAAAGGAAAGAATGTTTTGTTTAAGGTGAAGATATCTTCCTTTCTGTTGATAGTGGAATGATTTGTTTTTATATGGATCATTTCAGATATTCGTCTTTTTTTAAAATTAGGTTCATTATCCAATATTTTTGTATTTTCCCAATCAAAATCATGATTAAAATTTAAACGATGTCGATAGACCACAGAATTATCATTTACTTTTTTATGTTCGTTGATGCGAGTTTGTAGTGATCGCTTTGTCTCTCCTATATAAGTTGCTGGGCAGTCTTTACAATCAAACTTATATACGACATTCGTTTTATCCCATTTTTTAGTTGTATCTTTTCCCAATTTTATAATAGAATTAGAGTTTTTGTTAACGATGGGAATAGAGGTACAATTAAATTCCCTAAGAACATTTGACAACTTAAAGAAATATTTTTCATTAAAGGGCAAAGCAACCTTGGGGATTTGACTATATATACTAACTCTATTTTGATCGTTATTATTCTCATTCAAATATTTTAATTTGTTCATTCTAATACCAACATGTTTTTCAATAAAATCTAAAGGATAACTATTGTTTTTTAGAATTTTTCTAATTTTCTTCAAGTTGTCAAAATGGAATTTTTTATTGGATAATGAAATGGCTCTATCAACTAAGTTGTACACAATATTCTTTTTTTGTTGAATTGGATGATCTGAAAAATAATTAATTAGTCTGTCGGAAGAAGTAGGTTTTTGATACCAGTCAGTGATTATATGATTATTTTCTCTAATGAGTGTCAAGTCAAGAAAGTTAATGGAATTGTTCTTTTCTATTTCCATAGTAAATTGTAACTTTTGGTTATAAGAATTGAAAGTGTCAATTACAAGATCGACGTGTTCTCTTCTTACAGCCAAAATTGTATCATCCACATATCTGAAGTAGAATAGTGGAACACAATTATATTTTTCTTTTAATATTTCAAGACAATCACTTTCCAGATCATCCATAACAAGGTCGGAAACAAAGGCCGAGATTGGTGAGCCCATAGGCGTTCCGTAAATCTGTCTATAAAATTTTCCGTCGAGTGAGAAATACGTGTTATTGAATACAAACTTAGTGCAGTCGATGATGTCGCAGAATGGAATTTTACATTTTTGATTTATAGAGCGTATGCGTCGATCTAAACTCTGAATGACTAGTTCACAGGAGATGTTTGTAAACATAGAACTTACATCAAGTGAAAGAAAAGTATAGCCATCGTCCATGGCAAGGTTACATAATTTGTTTTTTAATTCTAAACTATTGTTGATATGCGATCGTGGTAAAGTAATACAATTTTTTAAGGAATTATATAATGTTTTGGCTAGAAAATGAGTAGGGCTATTAATTAGAGAAATGATTGGACGAAGTGGAACATTTTCCTTATGTATTTTTGGAAGTCCATACGCTTTAGCCAACACAGAGTCAGTCAAGGTCAATTGGTTTGGATGGTATATTTTATCAAGAAATTCACTTTCATTTAGGTGTTTAAGAATCCCTGATGTCTCTCTAATCAGTTTTTTAAGAGGGTTCTTTTTTATAAGTTCGTACGTTGAAGCATCGGAAAATAAGTTCGACATTTTATTTTTATAATCAGACTTTTTTATGAGAACAGTAACATTCCCTTTGTCTGCAGGAGTAAAAAAGACTTCAGGATTATTTTTTAAAAAAAGTTTTGTTTTCTGTGATTTTTTAGAAAAAGATCTATCTTGATTTTTTGGTAAATGTTTATTAGTCAAATTATTAGTCAAAATATTGGAAAATTTTCCTCTTAGAGAATTTTTAAAAGTATCGTCAATTTCAAGATTAGATAAAGAAGACTCCAAATTTTTTATAGAATTAATAATATCCTTTTTTGAAATGTCATTAGAGAAACTGAAATTAGGACCTAACGATGCAATTTCAACGACTTCCGGAGGAACATCAATGTCTGTCAAGTTTTTAAACCAATTATCTCGATTACATTGAGAATTCATTGTTTGTTTATCTGTTAGTAATCTAAATTTGTTCTTATGAGAGTCATTGTTAGAATTCAGAATACGAACAAATTTTTCCCGGGATAGCACAAAGAACCTGTCACGAGACTTAACATCAAAATTCGAATTTAAGATACGCTCTTTACATATATTTAATGATTTATTTAAAAAGGTGACATGAAGATGAATATCATTAATTTCAATATTTAATAATTTTTTTAAATAGAAATCATTAAGTTTAAAAAAGGCTTTTTTGCAAAACTTACTATGAAAAGAAACAATGTTTAAGCGCTTTTGGAAGTTGGCAATATGTTGCGGAACAACATCATTGTTTCTGCAGCTGAGAAGAAAAACCTTTTTTGAGAGTGCCATAGCCAGATGTCTATTCAATGATGTCCATTTTTTAAGAAGACCTTTGAGATGTGAACCATATTTTATACCAATGTGTGTGAAAAAAGATGTTGCCAGTGAATTTGAGTCTATCTCCGATCCAAGACTCGTACTTAGTAAGTTATTAGAAATATATCCTTCCATAGTTTGATAATGTTGATAATGTATATGATCTTGGGAAGGTAAGATTTGAATAAAAAATTCAAAAGTGTGTCGTTAAAAGAGCGACGTTTCGTTGGCTAGGGTTTGCCAACCTCATCAGGCTAAAATTTTATTAAATAGATAGGTTACACATCAGTATTTCTTTGGAAAGGTCTAAAAGCACTATTTCAATAAATTAACAATAATGATATACCTAAATTTCGTTAGAACATCGAACACATGCTAACACGTCAAAGATTAAAATTCTGTCAAAATATAATAAAAAATCACTCCACACTTATAAAAATAAAATTTAAAGTAGAGAGAAGACATTCTCACACAGCGATTCACTGTCAACTGAAAAGAAATTTAATTATCTTACAAAGTCAAACCAGGAAACACGTGAGAGAAGTCAATGAACCAAAACATAAACACATTCTTAAATGAGGTACAAGTTATATTGATTTTATTATTTTCTCTATGGATTTTTGTATTAATTGGACTAGAGATCCATGTCTCAATAAATAAAATATTATTTTTCTTATATTTTGTCAAGATTTATTAAATATTTTTTTAGAAAACCGGTGGGAATATTAATACATGTATTAATTGAAGTTGGCTGATTCCACATACCCTTAAGAAATAGGAAATATATTTATGCATAATTTTTATTTTTTAATAACAATATTGTTCACAAGCACATTCTTTTATTTAGGGAAAAAAACATTACGTATAGTCACGTTTCTTAATTTTTTTGTAGAACATTCTTAATTTTCATAAGGAAATAATTTGCTTCATTTCTATTTTCTTAATTATAATTGCTTTAATAAAATTCAAAGTTTTTTTTAAAATAGAGGAAAAAAATGTTTACAATATAGATCTATTTGTCAATTACAAACTTTAAGTGAAAATTTAATTAAAACTTTTAAAATTTTTATAAAATAAAGGAAACAATAAATTTTACTCAAAAAAATGTTTTGTTACATTTATTTACAAAATTCTTTAATTGCAAAATTATTCACAAATATTAATAACTTCTTTTTTAAGTAAATATTTAATTAATATTATTTTTCTATACGAATAAAGATTTTCAAAAATTTTCCAATTCAGACCTTTTTGAAATTAAATAATTTTAAAAATATTGTTATAAAACAGGAAGATATCAATTGCTCAGAGTCGAAGACTCAGAGTGATAGATTTTTTCATTTTTTATAATAATTAAAGATGTTTGAGAGATAAAATAATTATGTTATATTATAAGAATATTGTTAATGTAACTTCTTCAAAATTTTGTTCATATTAAATTATTATTATCTAAAATTTGAACTAAAATTCATTTTTAAATCAATTTTTATTAGAAAATTCTACGAGAATTCAATTATTTAAATATACAAAAGTAAATTATTTATTCAATAATTAAATGTTTCTTAAAATTTAATTCTTATAAAAAATTGTATTACCAAATTTTTAAATAATTGAATTTTTTTGACGAATTTTAATAAAATTTCTAAGCACATTTACATTTTTCGAAGAATTCGATCAAAATTGTATTAAAAATAATTGGAATTCTGCGATAAGTTTTGTAAATAATTGAATTTCTGTGAAATTTTTATTATTTATAAAAGTAATTAAATGTTTGCGTACAATTTTATTAAATTTTTTTTTAATAATTGATTTCTTTGGGGTAATTTTATTAAAATAGTAGAGATATTGAAAATTATTGAAATGAGTAAAATTTTTGAAAATAATTGAATTTTGAAGAAGAATTTTATTATTTATAAAGATAATTTGGATTTTGACGAGATTTTTTTCAATTTTGAACATAATTGAATTTTGTGATAAGAATTTTATTACTTTTGAAAGTAATCTAATTTCTGCAATGATTTGTAACTTCTTCAAAATTCAATTTTTTAGTGTTTTTAGCTAAAATTCTTCTATAAATTCAATATTTTTAATAATTAATTAAATATATTTTTCAAAATTTAACTAATTTTAGAAGATTTTAAATTATTAAAATTTTTCAAAATTTAAGTTTATTAAAATTCTAATTATAAGTTCATTAAAAATTGAAATTTTATTAAATTTCAAATTAAAACCTTTTGAAGTTCATTTATTTATGAAAATTGTAAACGTGAATCTTTTTTAAAATTGAATTAATTTTGAAACATTTGAGTAAAATTATTCATTTAATTATTGATAAGTCATTATTTTATGATAGTTGATCAAGATTTAAGTTATTTAAAAAGAAAGTATTCTCAGAAATTGAAGGTTTTGTATTATAATTTGTGTCAATTTCATAGTTTATGAGGCAAACAAAAAAGACACAAAAATTCAGAATTGTCTTATGAATTCTAAAAATTTAATTTTTTTCAGTTCTTTTAATAAAAAATCCCTGACTTTTCCCTAAATTCCCTGTATCAGAATATATAATTATTATAGTTATAATAATATTAAAACTATATTTCAATTCATATTTTATTTTTATTAAAATAAATTTGAATTAAAAATTTTTATGTTGTATTATTTTAAAAATTGCTAATTTATTTTATTTTAAAAAAGGGAGTAAAAAGTTAGAATTGTTGCTTGTTTTACATTAAAAGTAAATTATAATTTGAAATTTCTGATTCGTTTATGTAACGAAAAATATTATTTTTTTGTAATTTTTGTGGCGTCAAAAGTAAAAAAATGGCTTATTCACCTCATTGTTCTAATTTAGATTTAGAGAGTAGAATTACAATGTTAATTATTAGAATTTAATGGTTAAATTAAAAATTTTTGTTTAAAGATGAAAAGAATATTTTTTTTAACTTTTATTGTACTTGGAAAACTTGAATATGAAAAAAAGATAAAAAAAAATTGACATCAATTCTTTATGTGTTGAAAGTGGCCAATGTTGAATGCCGTTAAATTGGCCATTCAATTTTTAAACTTCATTGTTGCTGGAAAAAAAATCTATATAAAACTTTCAATATTTCTTTAATTTCAAAAAACCCTTGCAATATCACGTTTTCAATCATTTCATATTTTATGTTTCAAATAACTTCTATACATTGAAAACTTTATGTATTATGTATGTATAGTACATGTATAGTATATGTATGTCAATATGTATATAGTATATGTGTGTAGGTGTATATACTTCGTAGAATAACAGTTATTAATAAATGTTATAACAATGGTTATTAAATACCTTCGGTTAATAAAAGTATGAAACCCCCCCCTCCCCTCTTTCTCTCCTTCTCGACAAAGAGGATTTATAAAATATGAAACGAATATTTTTCTATTGTTATAAAAATGAATTTAATGGGAGTAATTAAAATGTGAATTGGAGATCAAAAAACAAAGAAGACAAAAAAATTGGGAGTTAATTGAAAACTCAATATAAAATGTCAATTAAAGAAATATAAAATGAAATTTTAATATAACAATTTAAAATTCAAAGCGAATAGTTATTTATATAAATGTGTAAAAAATGGAATTTATAAAAGCGTATATTGAAAAAAATAAAAAAATTAAATGCATGAATCGAAATAACAAAAGCAAGTAATTCATGTGTCAAAGTTGAGATTTTATATATTGTGAAATCAAGGTGAAAGTTTAAACCAATAAAAGAAAAAAAAAAAGAAAAACGAAAATTGAAAATGAAATGCAGAAAAAAAAATCGGAATAAAGTTAAAATTTTAAGTTTTTAACTTATTTAAATTAATTTTCCTAATATTTTAAACGAAATTTTTTTCTGTTTGAATTATTTTTAAAAATTACTATACAAAAAAAGAAAAATAATTTAAATTAATTATTTAACATTTACTTATCACAGTTTCTTTTAGGATTTGAAATTGAGACAAAAAGCGTATCAAAACGTTGCTTCGCAACAATTTTGATACGTTTTTTGTCTCAATTTCATATCCCATGTAGAAATTTCCCTACTTGTCCCTACCAAATGTTGGATTCTGATTAGAACCATCCTAGAAAATCTAGTCTAGAAAAATCTGTCAAGAACCTCGCTAGATTCTGACTAGAATCTCTAGTCTACAAAAACTAATCGGTTTCCAATCAAATTCTAGTTAAAGAATTATTATTACTAATTTTGTTTTATAAAGAATTATTATTAATTGATATTATTATTTATTATTTTAATAATTTAAATAATTTAATAACTTTATAATTTTTTAATTTAAATTATTATTAGATTATAAAGAATTATTATTAATTGAAATTATTAGATAATTCAGACTAGAAAAACTCACTAGGACCTTATTGATTTCCAACTAGCGACAAACTAGTGTACAAGTAATATACATAAATTGTCTTTCTATAAATAAATATTTTTATGAATTGTCAAAAACATTTTAAAGTATAATTGCACTTACATATATTTTTAAATAATTATTTTTACGGATAATATTACAATATTTAGGTAATAAAAATTAATTATACTCACATAATTAATATTTATTTGTGTCTTATTCTTTTAATTTACTTATTAAATAAAAGATTTTTATTTAATAAAATTGTTTTATTGGAATTTTATGTAAGAATGTTCTACAATATTAAAAATTGGGTTTCAAATATGTTAAAAAATGAAATAATTAAATAATATGCAAAATTTTTTAAAAAATAATGCTGGTAAAAATTATTTAACTAGAATTTGATTGGAACCCGACTAGTTTTTCTAGACTAGAGATTCTAGTTAGAATCTAGCGAGAGCCCTACTAGAGATAGGGGCAAATGGTGAATTGCTGCACGGGATGTTATTTAAGCGGAGGTGCTTCCAAGCTATCACGGCCGGGAGGTATGTGTATCCGACTGGAGTCCCCAAGGTCCAAGGTTCGATCCCCCATGGGCACGAGATTTTTCAACTCAAGTTTCAGGTTTTTCGTGTACAACATTCATTAATAACGTTAATATGAATGAAGAATTTAATTATAAATAGGTTAAGTTGAAAAATAATAATTTTTAAAAGTCAACTAGAAAATTCTAGTCGGGGCCCTATCAACACACAGCTAGTTTTAATACTAGTTCCCGACTAGATATTCTAGTCTATACCCCATCTGCCGACCGTTATGAAAGTAGTTGGGTTCTAACGATTTTCTCTAATCAGTTCCCCACTACAGATAGGGAATTCTGGCTAGGACCCCATAAAATTCCAATCTCAATTTCTGCATGGGATCCTTAGAAAGTAGGTGGTCATTTTTTCTAAAAAATATTTTCTAATCCTTTTTGTCTAAAAAAAGCGATTTCTATGTTTTCTAAAAAAAAGTTTTTCTAAAAATTTATGATGTCTAATGCAACGTTTTGATACGCTTTTTATCTCAATTTCATATCCTTAGAAAATAGGTGTTCATTTTTTCTAAAAAATATTTTCTAATCCTTTTGTCTAAAAAAAGCGATTTCTATGTTTTCTAAAAAAAAGTTTTTCATAAAAATTTATGATGTCTAAT